ATTAAAGTTTGAGACTAATTTACATTTTTAATGAATCCGACCTGGCTTTATTGAAAAAGAAAAAAAAAAATAAGGAAAATAAACATTTTTTAGGTGACAAGAGCTCATTAGAGATATAGGGGACACAATCTGTGATAAGCCCGAAATACAGACCACGTGGTAAACACTAAAGTTGGAAATGGATCCTTTTAGGAAAACTCTTTTAAAGCTCTGCAGGCTCTGAAAGTTGCAACAATAAGAAATAGCTCATGAGACAATTGGAATTGGACATGGAAAAAATATAACAAAGTTAAAAGTACAGGCCTTCTGTGTGTGTTACATGTTTGTGTGTTATATGTTTTGTGTATGTTATATGTTTGTGTGTCATGTCAAAGTACACTACGCTGACCTTAACAAACTCTGGACCAATACTAACGTGGGGAATCGGCCTGTGATGTGACTGTGATGTGACTGTGATGTGACTGTGATGTGAGTGTGGAGTGAAATGAGGAATGCTGAACGGAATCATGGAATAACAAATGTGTCTGTAATGTTTTAATGTGATCATGGAATAATTCTTTTTTGTCAACAGCATACGGTGTAAGTACTAGAGATTCAAAGATAACGACCTTTATTGAACAGGTGTAAAAGTGAGAGTACTCTGGGATGAGTACTCTGAGAAAAGTACTCTGCGGAAAGTACTCGGAGATGAAATACCTCGCTGAAGATATTGGGAGTTCCTCACTCTGCTGTTTGCCCTGACAGTGATTCGGTCCAACCGCAGTGAGCGGTCATTGGGCGGAGGACAACTTTGGTTCGTAAACTCACATTTAGGGGAGTATAAAATTAGTAACATACATTTTGTTGTTCTGTATCTGGCTACAGCCTCCGCCATGATGCCACACACCGTCTGTCAATGCAGTTATGTTTTGCCCAATTGGGAAAAAGATTGACAAGCGAAAGTGGGCATTTTTTGTGTTTTTTTTTGTGTTCTGATATTTCTTTTTCAGATGAGAGATAAACTACCCCTGCTCCAGGGATGACAGTAGTATGGATCAGGAGGAAATGAGCCTCCACTTTGGCACAAAAGCCCACAATATGAATTGAGGACGATCCGGGAGAAAAGCAACTGGAGATGAACGGAACAGTCGGTACTTTTGCAGCCTCACTGAGGGCCACTGAGACCCACTGCTTACTTCTCAGCAAAACTCGATCCCGTGGCAGCAGGGTTGCCTCGCTGCCTGCGGGCTGTGGCTGCTGCTGAGAAAGCGGCCCTAGCATCACGTGACCTTGTGGGATACACTGAACTAACCTTGCTTGTGCCCCATGCTGTTTCCCTGATCCTGTTAGAGCAGAGGGCCTCTCGCCTTTCTGCGGCTCGTTGGCTGGGGTACAACACGGTGCTCTTTGAACTACGGTGAAGGGATGCACACAGCTGAACCCCTCCTCGCTGCTGCCCACGCCAGAGGAAGGGGAGGCACACTGCTGTATCGCCACAATAGAACAGATATGCACTCCCAGGCCAGACCTGAAAGAGGTGCCTCTGACTAATCCTGACTTGATTTTTTTTATATACAGACGGAGCCGCGTCACGTGACAACACTGGGAAGAACCGAGTCGGCTATGCTGTGTGTTCTGATTTTGATACTATAGACTCTGGTAGTTTGCCCCACTACCATTCAGCACAAACCGCTGAACTGTGTCGCGCCCACCGGGGCTGGCAGCGGGCAAAACGGTTAACATATTCTGTGATACGCGTTATGGTTTCTCTGTGGTGCACGACTGGGAAGCACTGTGGAAACACCGCAATTTTATGAAATCTGATGGTAAACCAATTCTTAATTCCACACAGGTTGAACGTCTGCTGAGAGCTGTAATGTTGCCCTTAGAGATCGCTGTATGCAAATGCCAGGCCCACACTAATGCCACTGATCCCATCTCTGCAGGGAATCGGCGTGCGGACAAGGCAGCGGCATACGCACCTCTACACACACACACACACTACCTCACTCAAGACGTTGATATTTTCTACTCCAGCAGAGACGCTGCTGTGGGAGGGGAATGGGGCTCAACGACGGCATGGTGTGTGTGGCTGGGACCAGACAGCAAACCGTGCCTACCACGGCATTTCTTCAGACAGTTTGCAATTTTAGCACATGGTCGAGACCATGCCTCAAAAGGAGGGATGATGTGTGATTTAATCACACAAAATTGGTATACAAAGGGGTTTACGGCATTTGCACAGAGATTCAGCCAAACATGCGCTATATGCCCCGCGCACAACCCAGGTAAGTCCCAAAAGTATCCAACAGGCTGCTCATCCTCCGCCCCTGCGCCCATTTCAACATGTTCAAAGGGACTTTGTTGAACTCACACCATGCCAAGGTAAGTAATACTGTCTGGGTCTGGCGGATCTCTGGTCCAAATGGACTGAAGTATTTGCAGGCATACACGCCACGAGCAACGCGGTGGTGAGTCACTTTGTAGCAAAAGTCATTGAGGAAGTGGGTGAATTTCTGGGCATTGATATACGTAAACACTGCAGTTACGCCCCCTGGTCCGGAGGCACGTGCGAGCGAGAGAATGGCACTCAAAGCTCTGCCGCTAGCCCCACGTTGGGCGCGGGACCCCCGAACAGAGATCTGCCAAGCACCTCTTTGTGTGATGACGACATGCTGTCCTATTGTAAGGAAATTAATGCACTTTTGTCCTCTATTTCTGCCCAGGTCAGGAGCGCCCTGCCACAGGCTGCGCAGGCGACTGGGTCCTGATGAAGGAAACGAGACGAAAGCATTGGCGGTCCAAGCGCTGGCTCGGCCCATTCCTCGCCCTCCTGGTGACGGACACTGCCGTTAAGGTCGCGGAGAGGACAACTTGGATCCACGCCAACCACTGTCGTGCGGTGCTGCCACTGAGGGCCATAGACGAGGACACCGAGGGCGCGGACGGACCAGGCCCATCCGCGGCTCCCTACGCTGAAGAGGTTGGCCGGCGTGCGGCCACCATCGGTGAAGCAGGCCAACAACAACACCCAGAGGATCCCAGCGTTGCCGAGGCAACCCCCCTTTGCCCAACTCCCCAGCCCCCGGACCCCAAGGCCACACCCCAAATCCCGAGCACTCTGCCCAACCGAGTGCTGAGGCCAAGGCTTCAACGCAAATAGAGTCTTTCCGCTCCAAGACCAAACATCGCCATGACCACTAACGCTCCACACACGCTCATAGGGAGCGGTGCCACTGACTGCAAGGCGGCACTGTTCGACCGGCTGGTCCTGGACCACCTGACCGCGTCTGTGGGAGGCGTATGCACGATCATCGGGTCGTCCTGCTGTACATATATTCCGGCCAACGATGAGGACGGAGGTCTTATCCAACAGGGCATAGCCAATCTGACTAGACTCCGGGACGCCATGCAAGCGGACAATGTCACGGACACTCCTCACGGTCTGGACTGGCTCCTGTCCTCCTGGCGAAGTGTGCTCATTAATCTTGGTTTAGCCCTATTGACCGTTATGATTTTATTTTCATGTGTATTACCCATGGTGTTTCGGGCCGTTGGTAAAATGATATCCACTCACTTTGTGTCCATTCAACACAGAGACCCTGAGGCGGACCTGGCCGCGGTCCCACTGAACTCCGATCCTGATTATATCAGCGATTCGGACGACGACTTTGTCTAACGTTTTTCTTTCTTGTTTACTTTGTTTTTATTTTTCCACTTGTTCCGCCCACAATTTAGGGGGAGGGTATCACAGCGAAGAGCTTTGACCACACCCCCGTAATACAAGAGGCTTGGGTGACGGCGGCGTAACCTGCCCATCAACAACTCTTCTTTTACTCAGGGGCCAAGGTCAATACTCGCACACCTGAATGTGATCTCTGTAAAACTGGGGTTTTTACATTATCACGGGAAAGGAGTGTGATGGCAAGCGACTAGTATTCATGCAACCCTGCCTGTGTCTATTCATATGTCATATGTCCCTGTTCCAGGAAGGAGCCGGGCCCCCCCCCCCCCCGACACCTACAGACAATGGCGCAAATCACTGTCCTCCCTTTCGCCTCTTGCATATCTATCGGTCTGTATGTGTGCATCTTCTACATCCTGCTGCCTGTCACACCCTTGTGCCTTTCGCCTCTTGCATATCTATCGGTCTGTATGTGTGCATCTTCTACGTCCTGCTGTCTGTCACACCCTTGTGTCTTCCGTGTCTTGCATCTGTATGACCTGCATTTAGACCATTGTCTGTCTGTTCGCACCTCGTTCCCAGACGGCGCCAAACGCTCCCCATGCGCCTCCTCACGGGTGGCCCCCTCCCATCTGTTGTGGGCGGGACTGGCTTTCGTGTGTGTCTTGTATACAGGAAGCTCGGGGCTCTGGCCCCCAGAGCTAGTACATGCTGCCTTGTGTATGTGCTGACTCTCCGTACGTATGTTAACAATAAACTTACGCTTTTGATCAGACAAAGACCTTTGAGTTTTCTCCTTCATTGGGTAGAAACTTCCTTAACACTCTCCAATCAGTGATGAAGAGCCGGCCTGACAATTGGTCTGTGTCAGAAATGCATGAAACATCTGTAAACCCGAAGAGTGTTTTGTGCCCTCAAAGAAAGCAGAGAAGGCGTGGGCAAAAAAAGGGAGAAAAAATTGATTTTAGGATGATTTAGAGGATTTTTCTCACTCAGAAACAGACTCTCAGTCAGACTTGGTCCAGTTAAAGTGAACCAGACCAACAAGAGTGAATCTATCCAAGTTTCTACCAAATCCACTTTCACTCCAGTTCCTTAAAACGCTAATGAAACGCAGTAGAACAATGTGAAAAGGCCTGATTCTCCAAGACCGAGATGCCACCGTTATGTCTAACGTATGTGAGAGACCAACATTGATTATTTCATATGTAACAAATTGGACACAAGGATTTGGGCTGTAGACTCAAGGACATGATACTTGGTCATTTCTGAATATTTATGCGTCAAGGCAAAGTTAAGATTCCGCAGGCCAAGCCTCAGGGAACGATCTCTCAATCTACTGCAAGGATGCAGATAGTGCTGGGTCTGGGGTCACACATTCACATTCTGGATCATCTGCAGAACCTGAGACTGAGAGTAGACGTCAAAGGAATCTTTTTATAAATTCCTCTTTGTAATTTCTCCAGTTTACTGTCGTGTCGTATTCAGACCAAACATCATGAGGGAGAATCAAAAAGATGATTGTCCTTTTAAAAGAGACAATATATTCTTCCTTTAGCTTTTAAACATGTTGCAACATTGTTTCCTCAAACAAAAAGGCGTTTTTAGCTCCATCCAAAAGTACATATATTCCCCATCCCTTCTGTCCAAATGCTCCCTTTAAAGTCCAGTCCACGAAGATGGCTCTCGTACACCAATAAGTTCTTGATGCAAATGTAGAAGAAAAAAAATAAAAATAATAATGAAGGCATTGAACACTCTTCAATGCCTGAGATATGTTTAATATAAGAAAATTTTAGGACTACTTGTTAAATTGTGTTTGGAGAAAAGTCAAATTACTTAGCTAACATAACGCGCAGCAACAAAACGTGTCCTGCTGTTGTTTGCTGAGGTAGAGGTGGGGGTTGCAGGGCAGCAGTGCATTTATCATGGGGGTTGTGGGCAAAAAACTTTGGGAACCCCTGGTTTAGACTGTTTGAGGGTCTAACAAAAAGGACTGTGATGATCCAGGACACTCAACAAGAACACATTTAATTTAGCTCTGTGTGTGTAATATGCAGATCTGGAAACATTATTGCACTCGCAGCTTTGGACCAGAATTTTTTTGGTTAACGACAAACAAGACATGTGCAAAGACATAATGTTATATTGATTCATCAAGTTCCCCCCAAAAAGACAATGATTTAGAAAATGATTAGAATAGTAAAAAAAAACCTCAAAGACAAAGCTATGAAGAGAGCGACAGAGGACAACAGCAGAGGAGAGCGACAGAGGACAACAGCAGAGGAGAGCGACAGAGGAGAGCGACAGAGAGCCATCACATAGACGTGTGTTGTTGCCACAGTGGTATACGAAGGGAGGCTTGCCTGAATGTGCTGCAGTTCTACCTATCCGGATGCTCATCTCCTCAGACAGCTGCAGGTCGCTCTCTTTGTGGAGTTTGAAGTCGGAGGGAAGAGCCAGAGCCGTGTGAGGGTCTGAGCCGACGCCCTGGAAGCGAAACATCCCAGCGTTATTCGATGCCACCATTCACCGCTTTTAGTGATCCGCCAAAGCACTTTCATGATTAACTGACTTTGTTGATTGATTTCATAGTGATGATTGTTGTGTGGTTCTGATGTGGTTTTACTGCAGATGGGAAATAAACTGAATATCAACTTTCATTATTGTTATATTAGTTTGTTAAAATGTCAAGGAGCATTAGAAATAGCATCAAAAAACCTTTCATTTGTACTGAATGTATCAGTTAGTGAGTGAGTGAGAGAAGGTTAGAGAGTGAGAGTGAGTGAGACAGAGAGAGAGAGAGAGAGAGAGAGAGAGAGTGAGTGTGTGTGTGAGAGAGAGGAGGAAACAATGTTGACACATTGTTGTGACATACTGACAGAAGAGAGGCAACCATTTATGCTTTACTCATTTGTTCAATAACTACTCATTTATGCAAACAGCCACTGGTCCAGAAATTAGCTTTGTGTGTTCATTTCAGGGTTCATAGCTTTTAACATAACTCATTTTGTCAATAATAACACATGAAAGCTATGGAGGTGGAATGGAACCCAGGACCTTCTTGCTGTGAGGCACAGGCGCCTTTTAGTGCCAGGGACTCGTGTCATGAATTGTTACAGAATTCTTTTTTTTGCTGTTTGAAATGTAGGCATCACACATTAAAAGATAAATACAGAATTGTGTTTAATTATGTCTGATCCAATGGGGAAAATGCATTTCCGTGTTTGGTGCATGCAACAGAATCACAGGGTTTACAGGAAAATATATTGTATTATTGTCAGCAACAGCAGCTGGAGCAAAAACATGAATCATTTATGTGCAGCATTTGTGCTCAGAATGTTCAAACAACTGGCAGCAGAAACATCAAATACTTCTATTGTATCACTGCTACAGCTCCGTCCAACCAGGTAAAGCCCAGGCCCAATAGAAATAAATGTGGAACCAAAATCACTCCACTCCAATTAAATCTAAAATCCTTAAAGTGATAGTCTGTAACTCTAAATGAATTACAAATTTTAGGAAATGTGTTAAATTGACCTCCTGGCCTTAAATGTTGATATAAAATAAGTCATTTTATTAATTCTAATATTACAGGTAAGTTCCGCCTTCCCTGCTCTTAGCTATAGCTCAGAATCCACGGTGCCGTCGAGGTTAACCAATCAAGTCATGCCAAGGGCTGTCAATCATCGGCGCTCATGCTCGCAGCTGCGCGTATGCTCAGTTGTTTGTTTTCACGGAGCCTCCGAATCAAGCCTCCATTAGGCTCTGGAACTACATGAAAACTGAACAAAGAATTCTGAACATCCGCACTGAGTTACTCATTTATATACTGAACCTTTATCCATAATCATTTATATACTGAACCTTTATCCATAATCATTTATATACTGAACCTATATCCATAATCATTTATATACTGAACCTATATCCATAATCATTTATATACTGAACCTATATCCATAATCATTTATATACTGAACCTATATCCATAATCAGATCCTCTGCAGATGTGTCCTATAATGTGCAATTCATGAAAATAGCTTCTTCCGGGTTTACCGCGATCGCTTTTTTTGTGCATTAAAACATTATTTTTTCATGAAAACGTTAACAAATAATTCTGAAAACCTCTGTGCATGTGTATTAATAATGTACTGTATGTGTTCTCTCATTAACATTTAAATACATTACATTACAATACATTAACTTTACGGAAACGTAGGCGTAGACCAATCAGAAAGGAAGGGGGAGGGAGCTTGCGTCTTTTTTTTCTCAAATCAAGTACCTCTCTCTCTCTTTCTGACAAACTCCAGACAATCACTTTAATATAAAAGCATAAATGGTATGGCTCGTCCTACATCCAAGACACATTAGTGTCATACCAACCAAACTCTCTCACTGTGCTCACAAGTGCCTCTCTCCAAGATCCAGGACTTTTAAAATGATTAGGAGCCAAATGTAACACATGCTGTAAGGTTCTGGTTACAAATATTGGATTGTAATAGTTCAAAATCGCAGTATTGCAATATTGAATTGAATAACAATCTTTTTCACTTTAGTGTTTTCTCCGAGTTTCCTCTGGTCATTTCCATTTGAGGTTTAAGTTCCTCATGTCCGTTTCTATGATGTCTGTTTGTCATGACTCTATGATGTCTGCTTGTCATGACTCTATGATGTCCGTTTGTCATGACTCTATGATGTCAGTTTGTCGTGACTCTATGATGTCCGTTTGTCGTGACTCTATGATGTCCGTTTGTTGTGACTCTATGATGTCTGTTTGTCATGACTCTATGATGTCCGTTTGTCATGACTCTATGATGTCTGCTTGTCATGACTCTATGATGTCTGCTTGTCATGACTCTATGTCTGCTTGTCATGACTCTATGATGTCTGCTTGTCATGACTCTATGATGTCTGCTTGTCATGACTCTATGATGTCTGCTTGTCATGACTCTATGATGTCTGCTTGTCATGACTCTATGATGTCTGTTTGTTGTGACTCTATGATGTTTGTTTGTCATGACTCTATGATGTCTGCTTGTCATGACTCTATGATGTCTGTTTGTTGTGACTCTATGATGTTTGTTTGTCATGACTCTATGATGTCTGCTTGTCATGACTCTATGATGTCTTGTCTGTAATAAGGTCCTGCGTTCTGAATGTTCAAGGATACATTTCTTTGTCTATGCTCTTCAGTGTTTGCTTCAGTTCATGAACAGACCATAATAAATGTGACAGAGGATAAGAGGTATTTTCCTTAATGTTTGCAAAGTCTTTGAATAATATGAGGGACATGACACAAAATATATCACAGAATCGAATCACAATACTTGATACAATACAATGAAGCGTGACCCAGATATCGCAGTATTGCCTCACATTGTTGCAATTTCCCACCTCTAACTGTATTGACAAGGACATTTTACATACAGTACTTTAATTGTTCTTCTCATCATGTGCTAGATAAATAAACATATTGAAATCCTGTATTGTCTTTATGAACCTTCCAGTGAAATTACATGAATTTAATTAGTTACAAACAGCACGCCCCCGACCCTTCTGAAAGCACTTAATTGTGAATGTTGACAACAACATGAGGCAGCTGCAGATGTTTAACAGAAAGTGCATTAGCGTTAGCCGCTGTAATCAGAACATGGTTCTTCCACTTCCTGGTTTTGACACGTCCTCAGAACCGTAATGCAAGCTCTGCTTTGTGCCGAGGTGTTTTGGACAGCATCAACGAGCGCAAAGGCTTTTCCTCACAAAACGTTAGAATAAATGATGTACAGCCCATCATCAAAATGGTCAAAGACAGTGATTCAGGTCACAATGAAACTAACAAAAGTATTAGAGTGAGTGTTCTGACTTGTCTATTTATCTTTGTCATAGTTTGCTGGTTTAGAGCACTGGCCCTTTAAGAAAAGGCGCCTGTTGCTGCCACCTTGTTGCCATGGAAATTTACGCTTGCCAGTGCCAGTTGAAAGTGTGCTGGGAAAGACGTGTTTTTTCAGTTGAGTTCTTAAAAGGCATTCCCTGTAAGTATGTATGGGTTAAGTTGATTAAGTTAGGTCAATTAATTAAGATGTGTGTTTTAAAAGTTATAGGAGGCACAAAAATGAACTATTTACAGTTTAATTAGGCCATGTTTGTTTAGTAGCATTTGAGGTAATGTTAGCTACAAAGCGTGCTGCTCTTTATTTTACATTTTGTACTCATGTACATTGTATTTTGTGTTTACAGTTTCACACCTGCCATATAAAGGAAAGGTCAAACCCATCCTGGCGTCAGTGACTTATTGTGTGGAGGTGTTTAACTCCTGGATAGTAGATAAGGGTTCTACGAGGCCAGTATAGTGAAAAGGGATTCCATATTATGAACTCCTGGCTGCTGCATTGTTACACGCTGCATCCAGGCCAGCACAACAGTCGCAGTATCTCCAAGTCAGTGTTGAAGCACATCAAATCAGCGCAACGATGAAGAATGATGAAATGTATGAAGTCAGATCTTCAGCATCAAAGAAATCAAGCCGTTCTTCTGTGGCAAGCGTGATATTAGCAGCTGCTAATGCACGTGCTCGAGCAGAAGGTGCCCAAAAGAGAGCAGAATTTGCAAAGAGAGAAGTTGAAATCAAATTGCAGAAAGCCAGATTAGAAGTAGAACTTGATGTTTTAAATAAAGAAGGTGAAGCTGTAGCTGCAGCCGCAGAAGCAGCAGTACTGGAGTCTGCAGCAGCGGGTTTGGACACAGATGGAGGACATCTAACCCCACAACAAGAGCCAGAAAGTTCCCATGATCGAACTGCAGATTATGTAAGAAGACAGCAGGCATTCATCGATTCAAGTAAATCAAATGACATAAAAACAGGAATAAACAGAAATCTAACCCAAGACAACCCATTTGAAGTAACACAAGATGAGCTGCCTGCACCGCCAAGGCATTCCCATGCATCCAGACCTCCAGAACAAAGGCAGGATTCACATGAACAAAGAGAACCACTATACAACACTAATTATAAAGTTCAGGAGTCTCCAGCGTATATGTCGCCCTTTCGTGGACGTGCCCGGAATCACACTCATGCTACAAACAACTCAAGTGAAACAAATGAACTTGCCAAATATTTAGTGAGGAGTCAGTTACTAACATCTGAACTCACAAAGTTTGACGACAAGCCGGAAAACTATTTGTCTTGGAAATCATCCTTCTCTAATGCTATTGAGACCCTGGAGCTTAAGGCATCGGAAGAAATAGACCTCCTGGTAAAGTCACTTGGTCCAGAGTCCACTAAACATGCACAACGCATTAAAGCTGTCAACATAAACAAACCAGTAGCAGCATTAGATCTCATTTGGGAAAGGCTAGAAGAGGTCTACGGGTCACCAGAGGCCATAGAGGGTGCTCTTTTCGCAAAACTTGACCAGTTCCCCAAAATAGGACCTAGAGACAATATAAAACTCAGAGAACTCAGTGATTTACTACAGGAGATTGAGTCTGCAAAACAAGAAGGATATTTGCATGGTTTATCTTATCTT